CAGCGCCTGGCCCGCAGACAGTGCCCGGCCACGGAGCCACTAGGCACTCCCGGCCACGGAAGGGTTTCTGTGGGGACCCTCAGAACCTGTGCCCATGAATCTGTCCGTTCAACTGCCCTTCTTAAAATATATATATATACACACACACATACATATATGTTTTTATTGATTTCAGAGAGGAAGGGAGAGGGAGAGAGAGAGAAACATCAACGATGAGAGAGAATTGTGGATCGGCTGCCTCCTGCACGCCCCACTCTGGGGATCAAGCCTGCAACCAGGCCATGTGCCCTGACCAGGAATTGAACTGTGACCTCCTGGTTCATAGGCTGACGCTCAACCACTGAGCCACGCCAGCCGGGCCCAACTGCCCTTTACAGATGGTTCCTTGGAGAGAAACGTGCTGCTTGGTCACAGGAGTGGGGAGGGCAGGGATGGGGTACGGACCCCAAGGCAGCGGGCGCCGCAGGGCAAGGGCTGACCAGGCCCCGGCCACTCTCACCACAGGCTTCACCGGCCAGAACTGCGAGGAAAACATCGATGACTGTCCGGGAAACAGCTGCCAGAACGGGGGCACCTGCGTGGACGGCGTGAACACCTACAATTGCCGCTGCCCGCCCGAGTGGACAGGCACGTACCCGCGGGAGCAGCGGGCGGGCCCCCACCCGTCACACTGCTCCCCCAGAGGCGGCGGGGGTGAGGGTCCGAGAGCCCGGGCCCGGCCAGGAGGATGATGTGACCTGGGGCAGCCCCTCTGCCCATGACCAGGGTCTGAGCCCCCTCCCCAGGGGTCAGCGTAGACGTGGGCATTGACAGCCCGGGCTCAGGCAGCCCTGTGCCAGAATCCAGTCCCCAGGTATGAGCCCAGCTGGTTGGGTAGGACCTAGGGACGCTGGTCAGTGATGCAGCCCCGGCCTTGGGGCCCCCGGTTCAGAGGGGATGGCAGGCACGTGTGGGCCCCAGTGCACCTGTGTGCACAGTCAGAGCAGAGATAGAAGCCACCTGGTGCCCGTGACGAAGGGGAAGATGTGATTCAGGCTGGCACGGAGTGGAGGAGCCCTGGAAGGCTTCCTGGTGGAGGCGGACCCTGCGCCTGGAGGGTGGGGTCTCTGCCTGGGGTGGAGGGTCTGGAAGCAGCCGCCCGCCCGGCCCAACGGTCCCCCTGCCCCGCAGGTCAGTACTGCACCAAGGACATGGACGAGTGCCAGCTCATGCCCAACGCCTGCCAGAACGGCGGCACCTGCCACAACACCCAGGGAGGCTACAACTGCGTGTGCGTCAACGGCTGGACGGGCGAGGACTGCAGCGAGAACATCGACGACTGCGCCAGCGCGGCCTGCTTCCACGGTGCCACCTGCCACGACCGCGTGGCCTCCTTCTACTGCGAGTGTCCCCACGGCCGCACAGGTGAGGGCGGGTGCGGTGACACCGGCCTCCGCGGGCCAGCCTGGCGCACATCACCTCACCCAGACGCACGGCTGGCTTTGCAGGGCCCCCAGGGATGATGCGAAGGGGCCTTTCTGGAGGGAGGAGGGGCAGGGGCTGCCCGCGGTCAGGCCCGCTGGGGATTAACCCGCGTGCCCTGGGACACTCAGCAGGGTCACTCAGAAGCCCTGGCCAGTGTTGCCCAGTGGATAGAGCGTCGGCCTGTGGACTGAAAGGTCCCAGGTTTGATTCCGGTCAAGGGCACATACCCAGGTTGCAGGCTCGATCCCCAGTAGGGGGCGTGCAGGAGGCAGCCGGTCAATGGTCCTCTCATCATTGATGTTTCTCTCCCTCTCCCTCTCCCTTCCTCTCTGAAATCAATAGAAAAATATTCTCTTTTAAAAAGCATCGCAGTGGGAG